GGGAGGACCCTTTTTAACCTTTCTAACTTGTTTGTCAAATAACTACTATAATCACATAATGAACTACACTTAAGTGTAAATATGGTTTACCATGGTTTACCATATTTACACTTCATTGTTAATTAGTATTACCTCTCATAAGATAAAATAAGATAAGAAATACTTTATTGATCCCAATTCGGGAACTGTTTGGGTTGTAGCAGCATACAAAGACACGGCATTGTACAATAACAATTCAAGACAAGAAATAAACAAGAAAGTAGAAAGCATGTTGAATTTAACATATGACAGATGGAATATTAAATATTGAACAGATTATATAAATGTACGATGTGGTTTTATTCCAAGAGAAGCTACGGAGCAGAGAGTTCTCTTCCAGCCAGAGGTGATTTGTTGTGTTATTGCAGTGGGCAGGAATGTGTTCCTGTATCAGTCCTTGTGACAGCCGAGCAGTCTGCTGGAGAAGGAGCTCCGTTGACTCATGCATATGTATGTCCATTTTAACCCTTTATATCTGCAGGTGGCATATAGTGAGGAGAGGTGAAGATAAAGGCAGCACAAATGAAACTATAATCTGGAAAAGGGAATAATCTGTGAGTGATTTAATAAGAGACAGACAGTGGCTGCTATCTCCTCCTCCTCTCCTTTAGATGTTCCTATCTGAATCTGCTGTGTTTCCCCGTCTCCACGTTCTGTCCACGTTCTGTCCACGTTCTGTCCACGTTCTGTCCACCGCCCGATAACAGAAGAACATAAGAGGCTGCAGGGTGAATGTCATCCTGTCACAGTGAAGATGAGTCAGGGGTGAGAGCAGAGGAGGGGAGACGGCACAGTTATTGAGTCCTCAAGGCTGTTTTATTAGACTAACATCACAACGTTTCCTCAACTGTACGGCACACAACAATCTCCATAATTAAACCTTTAATTGGGAAAAAAATGCTTGGAAGTATTTCTACATTTTTTGATATACTGACAACTATCATCCAAATATCTGGAACAAGCTCCCAGAAACCTGCAGGTCCGCTGCAACTCGGACTTTTAAAGACTTTTCTTTTTGCCGCTGCTTTGAATTGAACTAATCACATCTCACACTGCACTGTAACTTTTATTCACTGTGTTATTCATATTTTATTATCTTTGCTTTTAAATGAGTGTTTTTAACATGTTAAGCCCCATTCACCCGCGGGCGGGGGGAAATTCGCAACATCTGCAAGAAACAGCGTCTGAGGGCTTCTTAACTTTTAAAAACCTATTAATGTGTCATACCCACTTAACGGGAAGAAACTCAGCTATCAGACAATGTTAACCACTTTTAGCAAAACGAAACATAAGGGTAATGACAAAGGTTATGAATTAGCCCTGAGCGAAAAATTGCTAACACACTTAGCACAGAACTCACATTAAAATACCCTTATTACTTATCGTATCTGCACAAACAAGATATCGATTAGCAAGCTGAGACTGCACAGATTCTACAGGTATTGGTATCATTACTGACATCACACCACGTAGCATTAGGTAGCCAACACGGCAATATGTCTTACCTTTGTTGTTTTCTGATCAAAAGTGGTCTTCAATGGCATTAAAACGATAAAAACGCTGCTGAAGGTTAATCCATAGGTTAATCCAATGTGTCACTTTGAGATGATTTCTGATAATCCAACAGCAATAAACCTAGTTTTCAGTTTTCAGATTTCAGAGCGTAAGTTAGGTTCCGCTTTGGGCAAACTGCGTGTGCATAGCTCTCATTTCTCAGTGGTAACGTGTGTGTGTGTGTATTTGGAAATTCCCCTTCCATTATATTGGCTCTAACGGTTAAAAAGAGATGTCAATCATCAAAATCGACTAAGAAAACACAGAAACGGCAAATACACCCATTTCCACCCAAATGCCAAACCTCAAAGGTCAAACGTCACTTGTTTTGCATCAATCTTGATAGAGGGCACTTATTATATGTTATAGTTTGGATTCCTAAAGCTTTTAGTCCATCCCATCATTCAAGGGTGGCTTTCACTATAAGTAATGTTTGTTATTTTGGACGGACACTATAATTTAAATTTTGTTACTGTTCAATCTGAATTTATTTTAAAATAAAATAAATCATTACATTTTTATTCGAGCGCTTTTCCAAGTGCTCAAAGGAAAAATCTTAAGCTAAAGGTTGAAACAATTTGTAAAGGCTCTGAAAACACAGTCATTTTGTAAACCTGTCGAAACTGTTTCACCTAATGTTATTTCTAAATTCAGTCTAATTGACACAAAATGATTATTTGCCAGCTGTCAGTAAACAGTAAACCAATCACACTGCTGATACCAGACAAAAAAAAAACGCACACCAGATTTGACAATAACTGCAGAAAAGTGTGTGTCAGTTTCTATAAAATGTGACTTATACTGTAACGCCACGTCTTCTGGTTGTCTGTCTGGTAGTGTGCAAAGTGAAAAGGTAAACAAGGCTTAAAAAAGAGAATAATAGTCTTTTTACGAAACTGACATAAAAGAAAAATCACAGTGACAGTTTTGAGATTCTTTCGTTGACAGATGTCACAATGAAACCCGAAAGACACCAGAACGTAGAAAAGGCCGAAACTACAAAGGCTAAAAAAGTTGTTTTAGGATCCTAAAAATAAGCAACAAATCGTCTTCCCTCCTCTGTCATCCTCTGCTTCAAGGCTTTTGTCATACATAGCTACAGCTTAGATATGACAATGACGATCTGAGGTCACAGGCTCAACAGTGCAACACAATAAAGCAGATCAAACAGTGCAAGTAAATATAATAAAATAGAATAGAAGTAGTGCCATAAGTCCTTCCTCCAGGTGTAGGTTTTTCTCAGCTGTGTTTTTTTTTCCCAGCGTCCTCTGCACCGTGATGATCGACTGAGACTCTGAAGGCTTTTATCTCCCGCTGTGCTTTTGCAGAGATTCTGTCGAGCCTCGCCAGTCTCCACGGGGGATTTCACTGTTAAAGATCTCCTGAGGGAGGAACACTCAGAAGGAGAGGAACCTGCACCTTATCAGTCATACTGAGGGCAAAGTAACCCCTTTACAAGGTGTGTATTTACTGCAGGAGGGCGGACATTTCCCCAGTGTATAGCACTGTTAAGAAAAACTAAAAGTTCACAGTCAGAAAAGATTCAAGATTCAAGGCTTTTATTGTCATTCGTAAATATTCCAGAAGATTTACTGTCAAAATGCTGCTTTGACAAAATAATTTCTCAACTCGGGATAAATAAAGTATCTTCCTGACGATCTATTATTTCTTTCAACAAACCTAATACAGTTATTTTACATTTCCTGACATAATTCTCTTCATTAAAGTCAACGTTTGAGTTTATTCAGCTTCCTTGTTACTTTTAACAACATATTGTAATGTTGTTTAAATAAATGCAAATGTTTTCAATTATCAAATATTAGATGTGAAAAAGTGAGTGTTATGTAATCAAGTTAAAAGCAGAACGTTAGCCTCCCATGAAGTAGAGAAAAAGCATAAAGTAGCATCAAACTGAAATATTGAAGGTGATTAGAATTACTGCTGCCTTTTTATGAAATCAAATATATATATAAATATATATAAATATGTCTGTGTATAAAAAACAGAGTGGAAACGGTTTTTTCGAATGTTCATCATCTTCTTCATTTTCAATGTGTGTTGGCTTTTATATGTGTTTCTTTTGCAGTTTTTTGTAACGCTTGTGTGAGTGTTGAAGTATAAACACCAAATTGTTCAGTACAAATAAACTTGCCTTCCCTTAAGTACAGTACTTATATTTAGTTACATTCCTCCACTCTGGCTTTTACCCATGAGAAGTGGAAACAGCTCCCGTTGTTGTTCTGATATGAGATATGAGGATTATTTGCAGGAACATCAAAAACAAACAAAGCCAAAATCCATTTAGCCAAATTCAATTAACTGTCCAGGAAATCCAATTACAGCTGTGTCAGCACTAAGCCAGGCTGGTCGTTGGCGTCGCTGATATCGATGTTTGCCAGAGAATTAAAGCCAATCAGAGCTGCTCATTAAATTAAAGAGAAACCCGTCGCTAAATCCACAAACAACCTTTGGAGAGTGATGTTCTGCTCCAACACGGCACCCAACATAAAGCTTTCATTCATGTTTATTACTAACACAGCTCTGGGGGAAAAGACTGCTGAAAAAATATCAGTTTCTTTGGAATCAACGACAAACGACTCTCTGTGGCAGAAAACCAGAGATGGCAAAAGTACACATCCTTTACTCAAGTAGAAGTACAGATACTTGTGTTTAAAAATACTCTGATAAAAGTAGAAGTACTGATTATACTTCTTTACTCAAGTAAAAGTAAAGAAGTATGGGCTTTGAAATGTACTTAAAGGTGGGGTATGTAATTTATTTCAGAATCACTTTTTGTTATATTCCATGGAATGCTCTTAACATCCCGATAGCAAAGAATATGCTTTGACAATAAATACATAAAAAAATGTCATCTGTGGAAGCCGTGGCGCTGTAAAACGCACGACCAATCGTGACCTCCCTTTATATGAATAGAACAATAATGTCATTGTTAGCTAATGAATGTTTCCATGCTGAACAACGGCAACATGACAACGTTTCCATTGGTCCCTCTTCTTTAGAGAAGACCAGGAAATGATGGATACACGGATCGTGTTCAAATCAATAGGCACGCAATGACTCTAAATAATAATGATCACGCCACCAAACACACATTCAGACTAAAGGAACCAGCCTGTTTGGAAAATGAGAGAAGTAGAAAGTACAGGTATTTGAGTTCAACATGTAAGAAGTAGAAAGTACAGGTATTTGTGTTCAACATGTAAGAAGTAGAAAGTACAGGTATTTGTGTTCAACATGTAAGAAGTAGAAAGTACAGGTATTTGTGTTCAACATGTAAGAAGTAGAAAGTACAGGTATTTGAGTTCCAAGTACA